AGTGGGAGCTAAACACTGGGTACCCATTGGACCATAAATATGGAAACGGCAGACACTGGAGACTCTAAAAAGGGGAGGAAAAGAAAAGGTCAAAGGCTGGAAAACGATCTACTGGCTACTATGTTCACTCCTTGGGTGATGAGTTCTACTGAAGCCCAAATCTCAGCATCACACAATAGATTCGCGTAACAAACCTGCACATGTACCCCCTGCAGCTAAAATTAAAAACAGAGAGTTACCTGGAGTGAGTGTCATCCTTTGAAGCTTGCTTCTATGTTTTTGTGAGGTGGCTCTGCTCTGAAGAGCAGCCCTTTACATCAGGTTAATTTGGCTCCACTGCTGGGGCTGTAACCCCACCCTCCACATCTTTCCACTCTGGACACACTCTTTCCAGGCTCTTTTTGCTGTGGGGATTTTTTTCTACCTGCTCTTTTCTGGGGATTCTTTCCTTGGCCTTGACAGCCTCTTCACACAGGCAGGCTAGTCAATACCCAGCTATAAAAGCAAAACAAAGCTCCACAGACTTCTCTCCTCTCCATTACTCCGCACCCCCAGTTCCAGCCTCCACAGTGTCCCCAAACTCCACACTGCCTCCTCTCAGGGAGTGGCTGGGCTCTGGATGCTCCTGTGCATCCATAGACCCTCCGTGTGAGATGCTGGGAAATCACAGGACTCCTGACCTGCCCCTTCCCTCTGGGACCTTGCAAACTGCAGGCACCCAACACTGAGCAGTGCTGTTTCACACAGTGTTGATTTTCAGTTGTTTAGGATGGGAGAGTCAATCACGGCTTGATGCCGTGATGTCACACGGCATCAAGCTGGATTACACAGGAGATTTAAACAGTCAGACTGCCACTCTGAAGATTAATAACACATTTGTTTTTTTGAAATAGAATCTCGTTCTGTCGCCCAGGCTGGAGTACAGATCTCGGCTCACTGCAATCTTCACCTACAGAATTCAAGTGATTCTCCTGTGTCAGCCTCCTGAGTAGCTGGGACTACAGGCACCCGCCACCTCACCTGGCTAATCTGTGTATTTTCAGTAGAGACAGGGTTTCGCCATATTGGTCAGGCTGGTCTTGGAACTCCTGACCTGAGGTGATCCGCTCACCCTGGCCTCCCAAAGTGCTGCAATTACAGGTGTGAGCCGCTGTGCCTGGCCAATAATACATCTTATTTCAAGATTAGAGCTAAGGAAAAATCAAAATCCTGATTGTTCTGAAATTTAGTCTCCACATGAAAACCAGTTGAGGGTTGAGTGGAACATGGAGAGACTTTCACAATCAAATGAAGGTAATAATTCCTTCAAGTGAAGGAGGTATTCACAGATATCCACAGCCATCCAACATGAAGCTTAGTGGCTGATCAAAAGCAGTAGAATATTTTCTGGGCAGAAACTGAGACTCACAGGCAGAACCAGGAATGTCTGCACATCTCAAAGGACAGACAGACAGTGTTTCCCTTAGGGCACTGAGGTTGAGGTCTTACATGGAGAGAGGACTGCCAACTGGCAAAGACCTGCATTTCACAAACTGCTGGAACCATCTGGACTGTCTGGCTCCTGAGAGAGAGGGAGACATACACCAGATGTGTTCAGATGCCATGAACAGAGAAAATAACGCTACCTTCAAATATGGACCCCTAACAGATCTTGCTTTAAAATCTAACAGTTCAGGCAAGGCGCAGTGGCTCACGCCTATAATCCTTGCACTTTGGGAGGCCGAGGCAGGTGGATCATGAGGTCCGGAAATCGAGGCCATCCTGGCCAACATGGTGAAACCCCATCTCTACTAAAAATTCAAAAAATTAGCTGGTGGCAGCATGCCTGTAATTCCAGCTACTCAGAAGGCTGAGGCAGGAAAATCACTCGAACCTGGAAGGTGGAGGTTGCAGTAAGCTGAGATCATGCCACTACACTCCAGCCTGAGCGACAGAGCAAGGCTCTGTTTCAAAAAGAAAATAAAGAATCCAACAGATCAGCATCTGCAGTTGATCACTGCTTTTGAGTTCTGAGACACAAACACAGCATGCAGGTGTCCACGCTGCCGATGACTCAATCACACTGGCTCCAACTACTGTACCACTAGGGCTGCTGCGGCTGTTAGAGTGACAGCTACACCCCAGTACCAGAGAGCTTCACGGTTATTGAGAAGGACACTGCAGAGGAAAATCAGCCCTTACCTCCTGCACCAGCATTCCTGAGTGACCCCTGCTTTTATTCCATCACTAGGATGATGAAGCCACGGGCAGCCAGACTGTGCAATTCTCACATGAGGAAGTCCATATAGCAGTTCTAGGAAGCTGCAAGGAATCCCCAGTAAAGATCCCAGGTCAGAAGCTCCAAATCCCTTTTTTCTTTCCTTCCTGGAAACACAGCTGAAACTGCAGTGCCCACATGCCTGAGCTCCAGGCACTGGAGTGAAGGGGAAGGATTTTGTGCTCATCCAAACTGGGACCACAGCCACAAGGTGGGTGTCCCCCTCACGATCTTCTCCCTTTCTGGTAGGCTGCAATGGCGAGGGAGTGGGCTGAATGGTGGCCTCCAGAAAGACATGTCCACGTGCCAACCCCTGGTACCTGAGAATGTGAAGATACTTCGAAAACGGTCTTTGCATATGTAGTGAAACAAGGGATCTCAAGATGTGGTCATCCTGGATTAACCGGGTGGGTCCTGAATCCGATGACAGTGTCCCCATCAGTCAGAAGGGGAGAAGGTCACGTGAAGACGGAGGCAAAGGCTGGAGTGATGCTGCCACAGCCAAGGAACACCTAGAGCCGCAAGACACTGGAGGAGGCGAGGAATCTCCCCAGAGCCTGCAGGGGAGCACAGCCCGGCCGACTCCATGAGGTTAGACTTCTGCCTCCAAAACGGTGAGAGAACGCATTTCTGTTGTATCAATCCACCGCACTGTTGTGGTCATTGGTTATGGCGGCCCTAGAAATGAATGCAGGAGGTTCCCCCAGGGTGAACTAGGAAGCCATAGGATAGAGGTGGCCGACTTCCAGTCAGTGTGAGTCCCCAAATGACCCACTCATTACCTCCCCACCAGTGTTACAGTAGAACAAAAAAGAAACTTCCCCTATGGGTGACGCCCTCTTTTGAACCTATATATTACAAAATTGAAAATAATGACAGGTTTACAGTACATAAGTATTATTTCATCTTTACGCTTTATTCAACAGTAATTTCTCCAAAGCAAAGCAAATAAAACACATACCAAAGAAAGATGTTCTGGGGAAGCCACGGACAAATGCTCTGAAGCCTTTCACTTTTTACCCAAATGTTCTTGTTTCTTAGAAATAGGTGTTACGGCATCAAGGCTGTCACTGAGAAAAATGGTGTGACCAGCCTGGGGCTCGACAGGGTAAAAGCAATCAAAGACTTGTGTTCCAGTCCCTGCCAACTTCTTTGTTGTACTGTTATTAGGGATGGAGAATTACCTGTTAGTAACCCAGGTTCTGGAACAATCTTGCCTGGGTTTAAATCCTACTTATGAGTTATCTTGATGACCTAAGCTGTCCCTTTCCTCATTTGTAAAATGAAAACAATGCTGGATTGGAAGGGCTGGCAAGTTGTAATCCTCTCCTCCTATGTTCTCAAACAAATGAGAGGGGCAGAGCACTCAGGGAGATGGGGACAGACACTAAGGTGTACTGATGAAGGCTGGGTTGGAGGAAGTAGCTTGGCTCCATGTGGATACTGAGCAGCTTTGCACTGGCCAGCTTAGCAAGGCTGGACCGGTGTTCTCCACAACTCCCTTGCTGGGACAGTGTGAGGTTGGCCTTGGCCACAGGAAACAGCTGCAGGAGGTGGGGTGAGGCGGCCACATGCCCACATGCAGCAGGCTGCTGCAGCCCCACACAATGGCCCAGAGCTGCAGGCTCTCCTGCTGGCTCGGGGCAGGAGGCGGGCCTGCAACTCTTCCAGCCCCTGTTGGGTCTCCTCCTTCAGCTTCCCTGACTCCTGGGCCAAGTGCCCGTGCAGCTTCCTCTGCATATTATCCCATCACAGAACTGGGGAGACCAGGAGGCAGCCAGAGCCAGATGCAGGCTCCATTTATCCCCACGGGTTCCAGTTTATTCTCGCTTCCCCACTGCACGCCTTTCCTTCCGATAGACCCCTGCTGATGGCACCATACCGCCCCCACCACCACAGCTCTACCAGGTGAGCCGGCTCCCACACCAGCAAGGTTAAGACCTGAGAAGATATCCCTTCTCTGTCTCTCTCCCATGGTTCTGTCACTGACCAAATTTCCCAACACTGAACTGCAGGACTGGACACTTCCCCCTTCGGGCAGGGCCTCTGGTGCTAAGCCCAGAGCAGATGCCCTCTACAAAGGGGGCCGGGGTCTGTCACCAGCCTCTTGGTGGTGAGCTGGGGGCTGCGTGGAAGCCCCTGGGGCTCCACACACACCTGGCTCTTGGTGCTTTCAGCACTGGGGTTTCTTCTGATTCCTCTAGCCCTCCTCATCCTGGTCTGTGCTAAAAAACTCATGCCTGCAGGACCTGCTCTCATTCCCTACTGTTTACTTCTTTTCCTTCCTCTCCCTAGGGCTGACCTTTGAACAAAGGGACTGAGATGCACAGGAACGCAAGGCTAAGGACTCAACACAGCTGCTTTCAGGTCCTCATCAGGCTGGGAGGGCTGAAGCCACAGTCAGGCGGGGGCTGCACAGTGCTCCATGCTAGCGATGTGAATTAAACCAACCAACTCTTGGAGTGCCTCTCCCCGGGGCTCCCAGGTCTTCTCAGGGCAGTCTGCCTTCCCTCCAAGCTTGCCAGGAAGGGCAGAGCCTGCTGACTCCTAAGGAAGGTGCCTGTCCTACCCCTCCAAGGAAAGGAACTCCCACGCATGTAGAGTCGGTGCTGGTCAGGACCCTTCCCATCGGTGCTAAGATGAGCATCGCCTGGAAGGGAACGTGTGTCATTACAGTGCACGAGGGACGAGGAGTGGTTGGTCCCCTGGTGGGGAATTCCCAAAGAAAAGGAGCACACACTCATGGGAGACACTTCTTTTATTTAGGAAGTAGATCTTTCCTCCTGGTTCTGGCTCCTGACAGAGGTTCGGGTGACAGCAGGATCAGAAGCACTGCTCTCACACTGAGTGGGAGTGGAGGACGGCCTCCCTCGGCCGCTCTACAAAGCCCAGGAGTTCTCTTCATTTCAGAGAAGGGCGCTTCTGCACAGAACATCACTCCACTGCAGGCTCAGGGAGACGGCTCTATATTCATACATATATATTTACTGCAATCATATTTTAGAAATCAGCTCTTCCACGCTAAGATTTACAATAAAAATAAAATAATTTGTTCTGTAAACTATAGTAGAAAGATTCAAATGTCTTAAAAACTATCTTCCATACAATGGAAAAAGGCTTTTGTGTTCTTTTTGGGCAAAGGAAGACCCAAATACGCTGAGAGAAGATGCATGGGCATGTTGCTGGACGCTCTTCTTCTATACGGACGGTTGCTGAGAGAACAGAGTCACTTTCTCCCCTTCAGCCTCGAGGCCCAACTCTCCTCTTGCTTGAGAATCTAACCTCAGATCTTCCAAGATGCTTAAGGCTGCTCCGCTGTTGCCTGGTCCTTGGCAGCAGCAACAAGCCCTGTGAGAGCTGGGAAGCTTTTTATGTCGCTTGTTTGCAGTCCCAACTTTTGTATCTGCAAAGGCCATGAGAATGAATTAGGTTACTTCAATTTAAGCTGAATGTGAGGAAAAAAAGATCCTTATAAAAAACAGAGAATCTCTATCCTCCACTAAACCAGAAGACAGTTCCCTGAAGACTTGCAGGATATTTTTCCTCTAGAGCAAACTTGTAAAATGTGAGGTTTTGGGGTCAAACACTTAGCATTCTAAGAAGCCAGTATGTTAATTTATCTCAATCCATCAAATCAGACAGGATCAGAGCCTCTTTTGTGGGCCTAACAAAAATTCTAGAAAATCAAATCCACACTGGAAGAAATTTAAAAGTGCACTATTTTTTAAGTAAAGAATTTTCAAGAAAGTACTGCTGGCCTGCTCTTAGTTTCTTAACACAGCACAAAAACCTTTTAGAATCCGATGAGTTGAAAACACTTTGTCTGGCACAGCAACTACCATGGATTATTTTGGTCACAAAGACATGGCACACTGTGTTCCCACTTTTGTTTAAAAACAACAATAACAGCACACACCCCCACAGACATATACATCCATATATACAAACACATTCACCCCACACCCACACACACCCACACACCCCACACACACACAGGAAGATCCGGAAAGACACACACCAAGTCTCTCGGCATTTTGTGGTTTGTCCTGGGGACTGCGGGAGCACCTTTTCTTTCCCTTCTCTTTCCTCTTATTTCCCTATCCCACTCTCCCTCCTTCCTGCCCTTTCTTTTGCTCGTTGGCTGTTCATGTTTCTTAACATACTCTCTGGCTTGTAAAAAGTTTTCAGGTTTTTTTGCCAAATAAACATGGCAGCTGACTTTTGCCAGGATGCATCTCTAAATTCATCTGAAAGCAGAAAGAAGTTGAATTTTCAGTGATGAGCATGTATAAAAGAAATTCCTTAGCGAGCTAGAAAATCAAGTGTCTTGTTTTTTCTTTTCTTTTCTTTTTTTTTTTTTTTTGAAAATCGAGTGTCTTGTTTGATTGCTTTTCTTTTTTGCTTTTTCTATTAACATTGTCTCAGTTCTCCAAATCACTACCAAGTGTCCTCTTACGGAAACTTTGATTTCCCTTTTTTCCCCCTCTGGAAAGGCCTCCCTTGAGGACCTACTACTATGTAGGAAACCTTAACTGTTGAGAAGGCCAGTTTCTGAACATCTAGAGGTTTTATGATGCTGTGAGGATTTCACCTCAGTGAAAACGAAAAGACATTCATTGCGCATTATCCATATCACCTCTTAAGTGATAATATCCTCATTAATGTTCAGCCATGACTCCAAAATCTGTGTTTTATAGGAAACCAATAAAAGCCAAGCAGGGAAGCAGAGAAGTTGTGCTCAAAGGATTTCTCATGCATCATAGAGGGATGATGCTTTCAGTTATTTTAAGTTAAACCAGCAAATATTTAAAAAGCCTGGGGTTAGCACCAATTAGGTTTCAGGCACTGGACCAAAAAGTCCCAGCATAATGAGCTCTGTGAGCACAAGCCCTGGGGAACGGAGCAGATGCAACAGCACCAGAGAGCAAGTCACTGGACTTCACAAAGGGAACTCGCCATTTTCTTCTAGTTTTTCCTTCTCATATTGCCTAGGGGCAAGGTCATTTGGAAGCCCTGTCTCCTATTACTCTTAAAACTGGGGAAGCTGAGCCGTAGCCATCGCAACGGCTTCTCTGGGCTCACGTGAGCCACCACGTAACTGCCAGGCTCCAGAATTCGGTGTCAGGCTCGCTGGAATTGCAGCGGCTGATGGTTACCTGCTCTCCTAAGTATTCAACATCCAGGGCCAGCTGCAGCCTGATTTTGTCATCATCGCTCATGCCGCCACTGGGACCAACGGGGTTGGCGGGAGTGGTCTTTCTGGCTTGTTTCAGCCTTTTCAGGCTCTCTTCCATTTTCTTCACAGAGTTCAGTACATCTGATACGGTTTCATAGTACCTTGAGCACAAGACATGTTTACTGGTGAAAAGAGGCATTGGTGTGTAACACCAAATAGAGTTTGTTGTGGACCAAAAAAAGATTTTTAAAATAAAAATTCATTTCCAATGAAAATTCAGCCATGGTAAGTATTTAAGTTTCTTAAGATCATTATATAATAGATGTATATGTATATATAGATATGTATATATATGTGTGTATGTGTGTGTGTGTGTGTATGTGTATATTACAGTCTTAAGTGTCTAACATGGCATTCCCTCAGAATTTAAGAAATGTATATGTGTATGAATTTTGTTTAAAATTTTAATCCTGAACATGGAGAAAACCATAGACCAATTTTGCCTTTCATATATCGAGGGAGGACATCTGTACCTCATGTCCCAGATCAAGTAACAAGTTCATTTCCAATCAGTTCTAGGAACAGTTCATCTTTTGGGGTATAAAAGTATTTCAGAATTTTAAATAAAGTTCATTGCCTTCAAAATACTCTCAATATAATTTTCAAATTATAAATGAGTTATATTTCAAAGCTTTGTTTACAAGCTGGCTACTTGACATCTGAAATACATCTGCCCACAAACACTGTATTATACCTCATTGTTATGTTCTAAATTGACCCACAAATGGCTGCTTAAAGTTTTTTTGTTTTGTTTTGTTTTGAGATGGAGTCTCGCTCTGTTGCCCAGGCTGGTGTGCAGTGGCACGATCTCAGCTCACTGTAACCTCCGTCTCTGAGGTTCAAGTGTTCTTCTGCCTTGGCCTCCTGAAGAGCTGGGACTACAGGTGTGCACCATCATGCCCTGTTAATTTTTGTATTTTTAGTAGACACAGAGTTTCACCTGACCATATTGGCCAGGCTGGTCTCGACCTCCTGACCTCGTGATCCACCCGACTTGGCCTCCCCAAGTGCTGGGATTACAGGCATGAGCCACAGCGCCTGGCCAGCTTAAATCTTAAGTAAAATAAATGAAATAAAATGCTGCAAATAATTAATAAACAAAATCAATAACAAAATTGAGTAACATACTTTTTGATTTGGGAAAAGTAGGTTTCATTAGAAAAAGACACTTAAGCATTTTAAAGGTTTTAGGAATTGATTCCTTGTCAGGTGTAATTAAACTTTTAAATGTATGTTTTCTCTTCTTTGATTACAAGGGTTTCACCAACCTAAGTCCTTTGATTATCTGGTATGATTAGAGACATTTGGGACTGACAGGGCCTGAGCAAAGAAAGGGCCTCCAAGAAGAATGTGGCTGGACTTGGGAGATCAGCACCTGCAGGGAACATAGGCAGGGCTGGGAGACTCTGGGGCACTGTATGCGCGGCCAGCGTGTGTGGGAGGGAGGGAGCCAACTGCAGCGGGACCACACTGACTCATCCAGTCCCACTGCCTTATGTACATGCAGTGCTCGAAGGCCTTGGGGGTTTCTGCCGCAGACTCTTCTAAGCGAGACCCACAAGGTCTACTTTTAATTTACTTACTTATGAGTGCTCTCACTGAGGGCGCCTTCTAACCACTGCTGAATTATTGCTGGTTTGAGCTTATCCTTGTGTCCACTCTGAAGCTGGAATAAGGGCTTCAGAGCACTATCCACATAGGAGGAAGCTGTGGTTGGGACCTCCTGGAATGATGTTGGTAGAAGATCAAGAGGCACAGGGAAAAAAAAAAAAAAAAAAAAACAAAAGAAACAGAGTAAGTTTCAAGACCTCAAGTCCAAAAGGATACTATTAATGTTCTAGTTTTGAGACACGGTCAATTTCCATCCCTCCCAAAAGTAACTGGGGTCCACAGAAAGCTGCCTGCAGAACACGATGGAGTAAGAAGAACCAGCACAAGAAGGTGACATCTGGAGCCAGGCTGGCTTCAGGTGCTGGCTGGTGTAGCTACCCACAGCTCAGTGCATTGAGACGAGGGCTCTGCTTCCCATAGTTTCATGTCTACAACGGCCACCTGACAATCTCGTAAAATCAGGTTCTAATTCTGTTGGGGGGCAGTGGGTAGAAGGGTTGAGTTCTGGGATTGCGCTTTTGTAGCAAGCTCCCTGATCGCCAGAACACATTGGAGAAGCAAGGATCCAGGGTCAGTAATGTAATCTTTCTCAGCTCTGGTTTCTTCATCTGCAAATGACAATACTAGCACCCACTGTGTAGGAAGATAAGACTATGTAAAGTGTCTAGCATAGTGTCTAACCCATAACACAAACTCTTAATAAATATATTACTGTAATAGCCTATTGAATAGAAAGGGAGAGTTGGTAGACTACTAAAGAAAAATAACGTATTTGGCAATATAAATAGGTCTCTCTCTCCCACTTCCGCAAACACTTTTAGGACAGGATGGGAAAGGTCTAACGTTCAGTGTGTGGCCCAGAGCCCCTGAGCACCTCTGGAGAACCTTTCTTTCTTCATCAACACCATTCTCGGAATGGGATGAGCTCAGTCTGCCTCAGGCAACCTTGGAATCCAACGCTTCCTCCCTTCCTCTTTAGCTTTCCTAATATATACATCCCCACCTCAAAATTCTCCCCCATGAATGGCCGCTGACCTTATTGGTTCTTCGGTAAAGCCTGGGAACCTCCAGGGCGCTTTTTAGGAAACTGAAGCAAGAGTCACTTAAATCCTGGATGATCTTGCTACTCAAGGAGGGCACACAGGCTGACAGAGAGCTCTGGGAGTCCTCCAGGGCTGCTGTTGAGATTAAAGATTGGATTTAACCATCCTGCTCAGGCCCAGACGTGAACTTCATTTAAAATACTGTCACAGCGTTTACAGTGTGTACTATAATAAATCAGATCAAATGAATTAAACAAAACACCTTATTTAGGGAAGTTATAATCAGAACAGAACAGAGAAACAACCAAGGATTTCCAACTACAGAGGAAAATGTTAATTTAAATATACCCTACAGTCTCTGAAATTTTATTTTAAATCATTTCTCATTTAAAGATTTGCTTAGTCAAGATTCATTTTTTACCTGAGATGGAAGAAAAATTCTTAAAGCCAATCATTTCAAGTTTTGGCTTGATTATTTCCAAGAGTTCTGGAAGCTGAAATAAATATGCACTTTATATATTCAGTTACTTATTATAAATCAAAGAAAGAGGCAATTCTATTTGCATCTACAAACTCTAGAATTTGCTAATGAGTGGTGAACCTAAAATAGGACTTTCAATAATTTTCATCAAAGGAAAGAAAGAGTTTTAATGCTTTCACTATAAAAAGATTTCAACAACATGGAAAATCACACGGTTTAATGGCTGCTAACAGGCACAGAGAATAAGCAAAAGCATTTTCTACTCTATTGCTCTCCATAATACAAAAATAGCTCACACTAAAGACCATATTCCTATTGAAAACAACTTTTAAAATTCAAAACAGTATTTATTCAAGCACCACAAAATATCTAAACTTGAGGAAAGCAAAACTGGGTATCAGGGGACTTAACCACTAGATTCAGCCCATCGAGTTAATGTTAAAAGAAAAAAATATGGATCTATACAAAGAAAATAGAGGAAGAAGTTTTAATATTTTAGTACTTTCAAAGTATAGCTGACGATTAAACATCAACAGAAAATATCAGATAAATGAATGTAAAATAACTAAAATGCAGCCCACTGAAGATTGCTTGAGCAGAATAAAAGGTGAGCTAATAGAAAAAAAAAGTGGGGGGGAGGGGAGCATGGCTGCTCAAGCTTGTCACATCACTACCGAAAAGGAAGCAGGTGGAGGTGAATACAATAACAGAACGCACGCCACACAAGGAGGAGACATGCACACTCTTAGAAACCCCATATAGACATGATCTGTCCAGGCCAGCTGGAAAGACACCTAGAAAGGGACGTGAGTGGTTCTCTCTTGGGGTACCTATGGGCCCCACAATTTAAGCCCCGTAAGTCCAAATGGTGTTTGCCTTTTACACATACTACCTTCTGTGAAAACATTAAACCAAGCACCTGGAATTCTTCTGGGACACAGGCTTACCTGCTCCTGAAGCTTGTCCAGGTCTGCAACCACACACACGAGCTGAGTGCGGGAAATGCAAACCATAGGCTTTGTTTCTGACTGACCACTTCCTTGGTCTTCAGTGTTTCCTGGGGTAATGGTAGGTTCTTTGCTACCAGTTACCAAAGGTTTTTTGATCTCTTTGAGACTTTCATTAGAAATGGGCTTGAGTGAAAGCTGAAAAAGAAATTCATTGATTAACTACCTTTACACTAGCAAGATACATGAGCATTTGTATATTACATGTGTGTGCGTCAACAACGCATCATTAAATGCTAGCTGTCGACATACCAGTTAGTAAGAAGTGACTAATAAAAGTACATCATATTGTATCTCTACAGGAGGGAGTGAAGCACTGATAGAGAAACAAGGACAAACCATGGCCCTGTGTATATTTACCTTCTGGAACTTGTTTAATGTCTGGTGACAGAAAAAAAAATAACAATGTAAAAAAATAAAGTGCCTAAACCACAATAAAATTAACTTTGGGGACATCACGGGTTTAAAAAAAAATAAATTAGGTAAATAACATACCGTAATAAATTTGTAATTATAATTAATAAGGGTAAAATATCAAAATCCAAACCTGCAAACATAAAATACAAAATATTCTTTGTATAACATTGTTTATAAGGGAAAAATCAAAGAGAAGTATGCTAGCATCAAGAAAAGGATGGGATAGAATTGGGATAATGTACATTCAGGGCAAAGCAATCAATGAGAGATAAACAGAAAATTCCTGGCTAGCAAGAACACGTGCTTAACCTAAGTGAATAATCGTACTATCCCCAATCTGTCAGGGAAATCACACAGTGGTCTTCAGGAACAGCTGGCAGCCCAGGGTGGTCTACTAAGACCCTTCTGAGCAGAGGGAAGGCAAAAGGGAAAGACAGACTAGATTTCACTGGACTCCCATTAACTGACAGGCACTTTAGTCCAAATCAGTCCTCACAACAGCGACATACAGAAGCTGTTTTCCCATTCTCCAGATGAAGACTCAGCTTAATTTCTCCAAGTCCACAGAATTAAAAAGCTGAAGAGCCAATGTTTGACATTGACTCCAACGCTGATGCTCATTCCATTAAAATACACTGCAAGAGGAGGACTGGGTTCCTTTCCTACTCCAAATAACAAAGCTTTTATTCATAGTGTGTTGTTTCCTCCATGTTATCTTTTTTACCTTTTAGAACGCATCTCCTCTGCATACTCCTCACACTGAGATGACTGGTTTACCTGAGTGTCTGTCACTCACGCTGTCCCCAGAGGCAGGGCAGCACTGCACTCCAAGGCCCTAGCAAGGACCTGTGGGCTGGTGCTCAGCACTGGGCTGCACCAACGCTCTTGTGGATCAAGAATTTCTGGCTTTTTGTAGAGTATTAATAAGTCATCGGGGCATGTGGATATTTAACACATTGGGAAAAGGATGTTCGAAAAAGAAAAGATGACTTAATTGCAATACCTTGTTATCTTGATGACAATATCATTTTGTAAACTTCCAAATATTAAGTATTAAAATGCATATATTTTTATTTCTAAGCATCATAATCATCATTAAAATAACATCTTTTTTTTAAAATTTGGAGGCAGTTCAAAGATTCTGGTTTTGAGAAGGAAAAAAATGGACTTACCAGAGTGGTGCTTTTCAACAAAACAAGTCCGTGATAATAGACAACCCTAAATGCAATGCTTACAGGAGTGAAAATGAAACACAGAAACAGAGCTGGAGACAATCTTGGGAAGTCAGACTATTGTCGTCCTCTAAATTAACCTCTCATGACAACATGGCAGCAAAAAAAATCTTACTCAAGGAGGTAGCCTAACATATCTTTAGTTTTTATCAGTATTGACTACGGATGAGCTCCACAGCCAGCCCTTACCTCATTGACAAACACAGAGTATCGTGCCAGAATCTGCAGAGTGAGTCTCCACAGGCGATGCACCAACAATGGCAAGAACATCTCATCTGACCAACACCTCCTAAGGCTGCTCCATGTTCTGTGAGAAGCCAAAAGGCAATATGGACTTTCGGCTACAGAAAAAACAACATGAACATATATTTAAAGAATTTCAGGCAATTTTAGGCTATAATCTAATGTGAGATTTTTGATGTATGATTCAAAGGTAAAGAAAGCGGCCTTCTGAAGAAAACCATGTGGTCAACAAAGCTGTTGGAGGCACAGGGATGAGGAGTGGCCACGATCCACGTTCCCTACCACATCCTTCATGCCACGCATTTTACATGACACTGTCTCCCAGGTGTTTGGATAAATATCAAAGATATATAGCATTCAGAAGTAATGTTTAATAGGCACTTTATACCAAATCAACAAGCATGGGCTGGAGTCACAATCAACAAAGGTTTAAACTTCAGTTTCAAATTTGTCCTGTTTCACAAGAGTCTTCCTCTATCTCAACATTCTTCTTATTTCTATAGAATTAGTTAACTATATATGACCATTTTTGGAAAAGACAGATGAAAACTAACTCTGAGGCTAAACTTGATTCAAAATGACAGCAGATTTAGCTGCATAAAAGAGTGGAAATTTAAGTCGAGGAACCTAGATATAAGCACACAGTATTTCAATGGTCTCTAGGAATGAATACATAACACAGAAATTAATGAGGCTGTCAGGGTATGCTAACATGTACTGGTAAGTCCACAAACCTACAACTGTTATCTGCCCAGCATCCCACAATAGGTGGCCAGAGCCCAGGAGGCCCAGGACACATGCTCCAGCTGTGAGTCTAGAGTGACTCACAGACTAGAATGTGAGAAGCAGGAGCACCCTGACACTCTACCATGCAGAACAGTCCTCAGCCTGGGAAGTAGGCAGATCATAGCCAATTTGCTAAAAAAAACCCAGCTGATCACATAAGCACACCAAGGGGCCATATCCCTGGACACGTTATATTCAGGAATGAAAATGAGGTCTCTTTTCTATATTCTTACTCCTTTTTCATCTCTATAAAGCAAGAAACTCTATACACCAAAACTATTTGGTTTCTTTTTATCTTATTAAAAAAAGAAGTCAGGCTGGGCATGGTGGCTCATGCCTGTACTCCCAGCACTTTGGGAAGCTAAGGTAGGTGAATCATTTGAGGTCAGGAGTTTGAGACCAGCCTGGCCAACATAGTGAAACCTTGTCTCTACCAAAAATACAAAAATTAGCCAGGTGTGATGGTGTGCGCCTGTAATCCCAGCTACTTGGGAGGCTGAGGCAGGATAATTGTTTGAACATGGGAGGCGGAGGCTGCAGTAGGCCAAAATCATGCCATTGCACTCCAGCCTGGGCAACAGAGTAAAACTCCATCTCAAAAAAAAAAAAAAAAGTAGAATTTTAAGGTCCAACTTACTCTAAGACATAAAATTATAAAAGTATACTCAGAGTATTACAATCTAGCTGACTTGGAGAGCTGAATTAACTCATTCAGGATACCATGCCATTTATCACTTTAAAAGAGTTACCTGGGGCATCTTCCAGGACATCTGTAAGTGCTGCTTCTAAGGATCCAGCTATTTCTCTAAATCTGAGATAAAAACAAGAACACACATTAATGTTTATGACTCTGACAGATGCCTTTCCCTACCCATTCTCCATTTTTCCTAAGTAACACAAATTCCTCTCTTGCTCGCTGGTAAGTCCAGCCACAGAATGCCTATTTTCCCAGCCTTTTTTTTTTAAACTGAACAAGAAATCGTGACTAAGCCACTGTTACATAAGGGTCCTCTGTTATTTGCAGCTGGTCTGAATCATAATTCACCTCATGTTTCTCAAATTAAACAAACTGCCAGTTAAGTCTCCAACAAGAAGTTGTTACTGGTGAGTAGCACCTGGTTATGATCCTCTAATCACCTCAAGGCCATAAAACTTGGGTTACTCCAACTCATCCATCTTAACACCATCACAACAAGGTAAATGGCCCCAAGCTAAGAAAGCTGCATTCTGTACCTGTGTTGGCAGCTTGAGAAAGGTATTGGGAAGTAGCCAGTTAAAACTAGAACTGCTGCTGGTGCTCTTCTAATCTGCAGACCCTCTCTCACGTCTGTCCGTGGTACTTGCCCTTCGGGTACTACTGCTCAGTGTCTGTACCAGCACTTCCTAGATGTGTGTTCTGTTTTCCCTGATGACAGCCAGCTCACCTGGCACTTCAGCTCATCCTGACACAGACCTCTGTTCTAACAATGGGTATGGACATGTTTTTATGACTTTGTGAAAGGCAAATGTGTTATATAGTTTTTTTTAAGCTAACTGCTTCTGCAGGCATTGTTTTTTAACTATATAACTCTTCCAATTTCATACCTCTCTGTACTAACACACTCTTTTGTCACCTGCTAATTGCCTTGCTAATAATACAATTCTGATGCATGTGCAATATCAATTTATCCAACGGATATTAAATTATTTTTTGTAGTACACAATGTGCTTTTAAAAAGCGGTTCAGAGACTGAGCTAACGGCAATTGTCTAAAGAGTAAAAAGAACAGCTTGAGACAAATCAGCAGCCCTACCCAACACAGCTGAGCCATGAAGGCACTAAGGCTATCCTGGACCATTATAGCTGGCTGATTTCTAGTAGCTGTCTCGTCTGCCCCATGGAAGGAAAGTAACTCTCTAATTGCCCAGTGATGCTTACAAAAGGCTAGTCTTTTCAAGCAGCAGTTGAGAGACACAGAAGGAATAAGTGACAGATGGAAAAGGGGGATAAGAGAGCACTGGGAACTAGCCCAGGAACAGCAGTCAGAGGAAGCAGTGACACTGAGCACAGAACATGGGAGAAGGGGCTGCTCTGCACCTGGGAGAGCAAACCAGCACCTCAGACTCCCAGTACCTCCTTTTTTCAAAATCTAAACAACATAGAGGAAGTTAGCCCTGATACAGAAAAGGCCTGATAGCTAGCACAGCACCATTTCTATCAGGGAAAAACTGGAAGCAACCTAAATGGGCAAAAGAAAGAACATGGTTATGGAATCTGCGGAATATTCAACGGACTAGTATGCAGTATTATTGTAGAAAGCTTGATGCTTTAAAGCAATAAGGAAAAATAGGTATAATTTAGCATTAGGCAAAGACATGGAACACAAAGTTATATGCAGATTTACAATAACTCTAAAAAGCATACAAATGAAAAAGGACCCAAAAAATGCAGCAGAGCCTGCACTTTACATAGAAGTTCTGCCTATTTGTGAGCGGGTGCAACAATGCGTGATTACAACCACCTGAGTCACTTGGTCTAGGTGTGCTCCCAGCCACGGGACAACCCCTCACACAGCTCTGCTGTGCCGTAACTTCCGGGAATGAAGCAACAGATCCTATTTCTTCTTGGAAAATGGCCAAAAGTGAAAGGGAATGCTCTGCTGACATCTGAAAATCCATGCTGTGGTTTTCATGTGCACAGGAATGTCATTCTACTCTTAACAGTATCCATGTAAGAAAAGCAACCCCAAACATAAACATTTCTAAATTCCTAAATATGGGCCTGGGGAAGGTCTCTAGACATACTCCTCCATGAACATCACAGGTCTACAATACTTAAATAAAAATAACAATGGTGATAATAATAGCGATGCCTATTATATTTTTCTCTGAAGTATCGGAGAAAGTATAAGTGCACCCGTCTCTTGTGGATACACATATCTGAAAGGAGAACAGGGAGAAGAAAGGAGAGGGCTACCTGCACTTTAATACTGCTATGTAGATTCCACATCCTAAGACTGATTGTGTTCAGCATATATGACGTAATACACACAGTATATACATGTGAACACGTGAATGTACTAGAAAGACTTCTATTTTAAAAAGAACAGCAAACTAAAACTTAGCCTTTGGCATTTAAAGGGCTAACACCTGTAGTTTCCAGGTAGCTACTGATTCATAATTTGAGGCTATTTGGTCACATCTGCATTTAATTTCTTCCTATGAGAAACCAAGTCCTCATCTACTTTCCAATATGCCCGTAGGAAGCAAATGAAATGTAGACACAGTGGGGGTCACAGGAACAGTGAGAGGATACAAAACGTGTTCACAAGAATGGTGGTGATGATGGCCTTTTCTCCTGAAGACGATTGGAATGTGGAAATATAGTCAGATCCAGAAGCTGAAAACTGTTACTAAGAGTAGAATATTAATATTTCTTCTTGGAAAAATGTCCAACTATCACCACCCCACTCTCTTTATGTTTACTTCAAATGACCTTGAAATGAATCTGATGACAATGCAACTCTGACCCTAACCACGTCTGCGGAACTTTTTGTCATTCTTCAGAGCAAACAACCCAACACCTGATAAAAATGAACAGGAAAGTTCTACAAAGTCTTAGCGGAATTTACTTTTTAGATGGAAAAACAAAGCTACTAAAAACAAGTTCTATACTTCATAACTCAAATATGTATTTTTTTAATTTCATAAATTTTAAATAAAAGAGTTGAAAAGAAAGGCTAAGCAACTCCTTCGATGGCTTAAGGCTGAAATCTGCTGAAGGTAAAAAAGACTTTCAGGGAACTGACTGCGTTTCAATATGGTTTAAGGCTCAATTACCAGGTTTGAGAGAAACTGGAACGAAGGAAGATGCAGCTGAAGCCAAGCTGTGCCATCACCAACGGGCCCAGCCTGGCAGAGCCAAGAGCATGGGCTGTAACAGCCCAGGAAGGCTCCCAGAGGTGCAGTGGTGGGATGGAAGAGTGAGGTGGCAGTGCATGGGTCCCAGGGTCTGAGGAAAAGGATCAGGAAACAGCTTGGAGGCAGAAAGCAGAGGAGTCTGTTTGTGAGGTGACAACATCAGATAACTCAAGCAATCTAACTCCAAACCTGGACTACAGAAAGATGGGGAAATGTAAACATTATTTCTCCACCATAGTATCATTTTGTAAAATGAGGCTTTCCTATTTTGAATCCTGCTCACAAATCAAAAAGCCTTCTTGCCCTGGCTTGATCTTGATTATCATATAACAACTATTTCCAGTGCATTCCATTAATGTCTTAGATGAACAAATCCATGATTTCCTGCTGAGAGACAATCTACGTGAAGATGCAACCTTGGAAAAGTTAGCATAAAACACAGCACTGTAAGTGAAAAGGCACCTTACTACTTTATTCTGAAAACAGTGATTTCATTATGAGAAGATGATTACATACATTCTCAATCATCTCAAGCAATTATCATCAGGGTACCTAATTCCTGATTTCTCTCTCTGTAATTATTCCTCAGAACTCTAGGGGAAAGGACTGCTTCATAATGAATGAAAGCATTCAGCAATTTAAACAAAAGAGCCTATGATTCTTCAAAGAGCATTTCAAGTAAAGTGTGCTATTTAATGCCATTCTATGGAAGAATGTACCATGACCTCATTCAAGAGATTCTGCAAAAATGGCTATTATCATCTGTTTTTCCGATGCAGTATATGTTAAGGTTTTATCCTAAATTTTTCCAAGTATTTTATAGAATGGCTTACTGACATAGGTGATATCATGAAACCTGGAAGGAAAACGTCACAATTTTCCATAACAGAGAGCACAAAATGTCACAAAGATTATAAGGAAGGCCGAAATAATGACTAGGCTTCTTATAAACTAATAGATAGAACCAGCTGCAAAGAACACTTAAAGCTCTGCTTCTCCCCATTCCCTCTAGGGGCAAAAGTATCTCAGATGAGCAACAACAGATGTGGAATAGGTTCATTATTGGAGGCAGATGATCAAACAGGGAAAATGGGAAAAAAGAGCTGCCATATAACGCCTACTTTCTCTTTTCACAATGAATGAGGACACAGTGGGTGGGAATGAGGCTGGGCTTGGAGTCAGCTCATTCCAACTCTTGTGTTCTGAGCTTTCCAATTACCAAAAAATAAAACTTATCTTTTTGTCATGCAAGCCAAACTTTGGCAACCATAATACTTCTTATATGTCTTTCTCCACTTTCAATTTTGTCTCCCAAAGTCTATTATGATGCTCAGAGAAAAGGAGCCACTAACTGGGGCAACATGCTTAAATGGCATTCAAATTCTGTTTTGGAAGGGTGGAGGGGGGCCAGAATAAATAACCAACCTTATTTGAAAATAAACAGGCAAGTTCCACTTATTATTGAAGCTATGATAGGCAGGATGTGCTCTTAATCTTTTTACACTGGCCTGTGATCCACATTGCCGTTCAAATCTTCTGACAAAATCCATACTTATGGTATATTTCTAAAATAAAAACAAATGGGGAATTTTCATTATCAGCAAAGTAACTAGAACAGGGAGCATGTACTGAAAACTGTATTCAAGATAAACAAGGTCAACACATAAGAATCAGTTTCTAGAGTTAACAGGGACCCTACGAGATCTTCCTTCCAATGTTCCCATTTAAAGATGCATAAATGCCCAGGGTGGTTCTGTGATATGTCTTCCGTGCCTTCCATGGCAAACCGCATCTGAGACTCAGGCACTCTATGTCCAGTGCTCTTTAAATGGTAGTGCTCATGTTCTAGGGCCCCCTACCCCAGTTCACTGGAATTAGGATAGCAGATTAAATGACGTAATTCATCACTGCCTCACAAAGGAGAAAAAAGAGAAGAACATTTTGAAGAAAGAGAGAGAAGAGAAAGAATCAAACCATGTGAGTATTCACATCATTTTTATAAGTAAGACAGTATAAAAACTGACAGGGAGATGTACCAACACCATTAAGAGTGGCAGCTAACCCCTTAGCACTTATCATCAACACACCGTGCTTAGAACTGTATTATTTCATTTAATCCACAAAGCTACTCTACAAAGTAACTACTATCATCATCATCATCATCCCCCATTTTATAAATGATGCTGCTGCTTCTGTTGAGGCTCACAGAGAACCCGCTCAAAAGACAAGCTAGGAGGTAGAGGAAACGGAATGCTGGTCAGTCAGTTGAGCAAAACTGTGGCTGCACATTGTTTTCATGGGTACTTCATTCCTCAAGTCCCTGGGCTCTAAGGAGAACACTGTTGAATTTTTTATGTTCTTCTCAATTAAAAGGGGTTCAATCCGGGGTCACCAAACCATTAATGTAAATATGCTAAAGTCTATGCTTAGGATTTCGTAGTAGTAAAAACTACAGGCTTTAAACTTCTTTCAAATGGTTTTGGGCAAACTTATGCTTTCCCAGAGGGTGGTCTAAGTGTGTGGAGCTGAGCCAAAAATAGGGATTATTCTTCCCCTTTTGGGACAAAACTATACCTCTGCATGTAATGGATGCTAAAAAAAAAAATACAAAGATATTTCTTTCTTCACAGGAAACATGTTATATTAAGGCTTAAAGCTGAAAGTATTTCTGGAAATAAATGGATACATATCTGCTGGAAACTATACTCACAAACGTTAAGTATTAGCCTAAAATTCTAAAGTAAAGTTCTATCAGAAATGTTCATTTCTGAGTTAAAACATTTCCTGAGTTAAACATGGTCAATATGCGTCTCTAAGGCACACAGCAAATTACAGAGCATCTTTACATTTGCTAGTGCTGAAAGCCATTGTTTCACTCTCCTTATGCTATCTTATTTTAAAAGCCCTACTTTTTAAAATTACAAATGTTGTTGCTATTAAATTTATTGAAAACAGCACAATCCTGTTATTCAATGCACTATAACATGGCACAATCAGCCAAGAGAACAGGTAAGCTGCATTTCTGAGATGGTAAACCTCCCAGTGTGCTGTCTTATCTGTGTGAAACTTGCTGGGCCCCAGGCTCTTTATGTTCATCTTGTGCCTCTCTACACTTAAAAAATTAATAAGCAAATTCACCAGGGAAACTAGACAAGAAACAAATATAACTTCTAGAAATAAAAAAGCATGATAACTAACTGGAAACTCAATGTACAGGTGAAAAAGAGTTTAGACACAACCAAGGAAGGAATTAGTGACGTAGAAGACAGACTGTGAAATTACTGAGAAGGCAGCAAATACAGAGTATAGGGTGAGCCAGTCTAAACAAGAGATCTAGATGGAGATGACAGAGGAATGAAAGAAGAACACAGCTAAAGAAATAATGAATAAAAATGTTCCAGAATAGATGAAAGACACCAATTCTCAGATTCAGAAAGCCCATCAAATCCTAAGGATAATAAAAAAGAAGTTCTACTGTACATATCACAACAGAACTTAGCACACCCAAGTCACAGAGAAGATCTTAAAAGAAGCCAGAGAAAAAAGGTATTAACTACAAAGGATTTACAATTAAATTAATAGCTAATTTAAAAATACAACTCAAAAGACAATACTCAAAGTGCTGAGAATTCTATTAATATGAAATAGAAAGCAAATCGACCTTTCAAACAGAAGTAATACAGTTATTTTCAGACAAACACAAACTGAGAAATTATAAAAAAAAATTATTATCAACAGAGCCTTACTAAAGTCTTCTAACATGAATTTCAGGAAGAAGGAAAATGTTCCAAGAAGGATGAGCTGACATTCAAAAAGGAACAGGAAGCAATAAACACGCAGGGTAATTCTGAGAGGATGGTGACCATATAAAACAATAAAAATGCCCAGTTTTTAAAATTAAAAAAAAAAAAAAAATAGAAGTATGAGCCAGGAAACAAAAACAGATACTATGAGAAGGGGTGGTTGGCGTTAATGCGCTCTAAGTTCCTCGTGTTATCAAGAAGGCTCAAGAACATCAAGCAACTTCAGATTCCGTTAAGTAACCACTAAGGTTACTCAATATATACAGAAATAAAGGACACAACTTCTAAATTAGTAGAGGCGACAAAATGCAAAAAAGACGGAAAACAAATCCCCAGAAGTCTAAAATACAAAGAAGGTGATAAAAGGAGGAAGAAAAGATGAGAGGAAGGAAGTAAGGGAAGAACACAGGGGCAAACAGAAAGTCCAAAATAAAAGCCCAATGCATTGACAATTAACAATCTTTGTTAATTTGGTAATGTACCGAATTAAACGACAAAGATTATCTCACTGCGTAAGAAACCAAAAGCCAGGGAAAGAGAAGAAAGAAAAGTACCAAGAGGCTGGGCACTCAGTAAACAGGACAGCTGGGATGGGAATTCAGGCCATCTGTCTCCATTCTAACCCACAACACTACAAACTGCCTTTAAAGTGATACAATAGAAACAAACTTAGACATTTCCTTTTGAAATCCTAACCATGTAATCTTTTAAATAAGGATTTCTTTTTTAAGGAAAAAAAAAAAGGGGGGAAATAGGGCTGGACATGGTGGCTCACCTGAAATCCTAGCACTTTGGGAGGCCGATGGGGACGCACTGCATGAGGCCAGGAGTTCAACACTAGCCTGGGCAACACAGTGAGACCCGTCTCCACAAAAAAAAAAAAAAGAAAAAAAAGAAAAGAAAATTGACCAGGCATGGTGGTGTGCACCTGACATCCCAGCTACTCAGGAAGGAGCCTGAGGCAGAGGACTGCTTGAGTCGAGGGGTTGAAGATTGCAGTGAGTTGTAACTATGTCACTGCATTTCACCCTGAGTGACAGAGTAAGACCCTGTTTCAAAAATAGTAACAGTAATAATAAAATTAAAATTAATGTAAAAAGGAAATATTAGGGCTTTCTAACTTTTTAAATTATAAAGGACACTTATATAGCATCTTTTATAATCCAACCAATTCCTTTGTACTTGCTGCTTGAAAAAATCCAATGAATACTTTTTGTTTTCATTCAGAATTATACAGCAGAGATGTACACACTTAAGTTTTCACAGGAAAGTGCAAAAACACTGGTTTTTAATGGTCCTCGGGATGTTTTTAAGAAAGTTAGAAAACAATGTACATTTCTTTTTTTTTGAGACGGAGTTTTGCTCGTTACCCAGGTTGGAGTGCAATGGCGCGATCTCGGCTCACTGCAACCTCCGCCTCCTGGGTTCAGGCAATTCTCCTGCTTCAGCCTCCCGAGTAGCTGGGATTACAGGCATGCACCACCACGCCCAGCTAATTTTTTTTGTATTTTCAGTAGAGACGGGGTTTCACCATGTTGACCAGGATGGTCTCGATCTCTTGACCTCGTGATCCACTCGCCTCGGCCTCCCAAAGTGCTGGGATTACAGGCGTGAGCCACCGTGCCTGGCTACAATGTACATTTCTACTCACACTTGTATCTAGACTTAATTATACTTTATAAAATGAAAATATTCTTATTCCTAAAAGTATCATAGGTCATATCTTAGATAAAACAATGTGTGTGTTTTAAGGTAAATGTTCACTTAGCAACTCAAATTTTTATTTTTAATAAACCATAGAACCAAGACTAAGTAGAAGACAACATGATATTTCTAAAGTCTCCAGTTAACATCTTCAAGAATAAAGACGATGGGGAAGATACCTCATGAAATGCGTCGGGATTCCCAGGATTAAAAAGTGAGGGCAACTTTTCTTCTAATCCTTGTACGATTTGTGGCCAGACAGAATTCACTAAAAAGTCATATCCAGGAACAGTATTGCCTTTTTCACTGTAAAATAAGAGCACACTTCAATAAAATATACCATAATCTATTTACAAAGAGCAAATTTCCACTGTGTTGCTTCTGCCAAAAGACCCACAGTCTAAAACTTATTTCAACTTTATTAAAAACTATATTTGTAATTTAGTTTGTTTCTAGACTCAAGTTTCTATTTCACTCCTTAATGTCAGTCTCACCTCAAACCTGTCAAATCTCTTGGATCCTGACTCGTCCACCTAGTGTCAAGGCCAGGCAAACCACATAAAATCACTTTGGTACACTTTTCCCTCGAAAATAGGCTACCACCTTTATACTCCTATTTTGGAAAAAAAAGTACAGTAGTCTAATACCACAGGAAAAATAACCTACACGTTGCTGAACACCACTAAACCACACAGCATTGTAAATTATGGTAATTTATAAATTACTAACAGCTTTGTACTTACTAAGCTATCTCTAAGATTGCTTTCAGTTTTAAAATTCCATGACTATCAAATGTGAAATCTTATCACAAATCTTGACAAAAAAATTATTATTTTTTACTCTGATAACAGAACAATGTTCTTTTGTGTGTGCCTGTCTTATTTTGTCTTTTTTTTAGCACCAGATTTTAAATTCCAAATTCCCAAATATAGATGACAGGCAGCATTGAGAGAAAAGTATGCGCTCTGGAGCCAGTGTACATGATTCAAATATTGAAGCCTGGACAAATCATTTAACTTCTCTGTGCTTTGCTTTCTTCATCTTTAAATGGTGATGATAATCGTACCAACTTCACCAAGTCACTATAAGAATTAATATTTGAGCCAGGCGTGGTGGCTCACGCCTGTAATCCCAGCACTTTGGGAGGCTGAAGCAAGTGGATCACGAGGTCAAGAGATCAAGACCATCCTGGTCAACATGGTGAAACCCCATCTCTACTAAAAATACAAAAATTATCTGGGCACAGTGGTGCATACCTGTAGTCCAAGCTACTCGGGAGGCTGAGGCAGGAGAATTGCTTGAACCCAGGAGGTGGAGGTTGCAGTGAGTCGAGATCACGCCATTGCACTCCAGCCTGGGTAACAAGAGCAAAACTCCGTCTCAAAAAAAAAAAAAAAGAATTAATATTTGTAAAGTACTTAGGATAGCACCTAACATACAGTAAAAGCCCTATGTTAGAAATGGTTAAATAAATTAGCTAATAAGTAAGGGAGATTCCTTAAGTCTCTCACAAACTTAAAGACCCATAATCATATCTTCTAGGCAAAAACCATTTCACTATCTGCCCACCTTGTTTTGTATTGTGTATTATGCTCTATTTGAAGGTAATTTTTAAAAATGGTAAACAATTTAATAAATGTTCTTATTTTAGCAAAACTGGGAGTTTTGTAACTAAGTTGCCATATCAAGGTGGGACTTAACATTCCAGTAAGTTATCAAAATAAACTTTTTTTAAGTTTCATAATTTTCCTGCTTAACAAAAATTATCAAGACAGATAAGTTATAAAGGAAGTTCTACTTCACTGTCCAGGAAGAGCTAGCAAATAAAGTTATGACAGTTTCACGTAAGTATTGATAAGAAATTACTGGTGAGGGTGGAGGAGGATGAGGGAGGGGAAAGAAGATGCCTGCTTCCCATATATCCAGTTCCATACATCAGATTATACACTTTCAAATAATAGTAAGAGCTGACTCTGTTAAGGTATCTAGAGAAAGCAAGCACAAAATTGAGGACTTTAAACTACAGATATACATAATATAACCACTATTAAATGACAACGTTTCCTCATTCCCAAAGTTAATGTCTAATTAAAGCCCCCAAAGAGAAATGTAAATAAAACCTGCAAGATTAACAGTTGACACAGATGACTGATTAGAAAAGCTCATCTGTATACTCTGGAGAATAAATACAAATGTTGCTGGTGTTGCTGATTATAAGTTCATGAAGGGTGATACACGATAAAAGAAAAAAGTGTCCAGGGAAGCACCAAACTTCTGGAAATCTAAAGCCAGGAGCTGAGCAAGGGAAAGAAATGGATACGCAAAACCTCCCACAATACAGTGATGGGCTAGCAGCAGATGATGATGACCTTGCAAAGCACAGTTCAGATTTTTCAAATATCTGAGCCTTCTACACGAATTCTCCCACACTGAAAACTATGGAAAAGATCCCCTAAAGCTTTGAAGCTGGACCCAGACTGGTCCTGTCAAATCTAATGGCTGGTTGTTTCCTATCTATGGCTTCTTTCACTTTATCTCATGATTTCTACTACATTCTTATCCCCAAATCCAACTAAATCCTTATGATTATAAACAAAAGTAGCAAAACTAGGCTTCATCTTAAGTGGTGCAGAGGAAATAGAGAGGATACTGCAAAGGCCAAGCAGCATATTAATCACCCCGTATTTCTGCAAAGAACAAAAACTCATGGCCAGGTATATTGCTTGCTCCATAAAAACAGTGACCTTATTTACCTTTCAATCATTAAAAATGGTTAACTCTTTCATTCTGCAAACACTAACTGGGCAGTTGCTAGCTCTAAACCACCCTGTTAAGAGGCAGGGGAAGGTATGAGCAATGCAAGATTGATCACAATGCAAGATGGCAATCAGCACTCAGCAGAAGCAAGAGCAACACATCTACAATCCAGAGGACGTGATGAATGCTGAGCATTAGGATCGATAATGGTTTTTTTTTTTTTTTTTTTAAGACGGGGTTTTATCGTGTTGCCCAGGCTGATCTTGAACTCCTGGTCTCAAGCAATTCACCTGAATTAGCCTCCCAAAGTGCTGGGATCACAGGTGTGAGTCAACACGCCCAACCAAAATTGGCCTCTTGAAGGAAGCGGTATCTGACCTGGAGCTTCATGTGGAGAGGCAGTTTGACAGGAAGACAAAGGACACAGGAAGAACAGCAAGCAGAAGAAAAACGCAGAAGCATGTGAGTACAGGGGAGCTGGGGAGAGGCAGCCAGCACTGTGTAGCTGGAGCATCCAGGGCTATGGAGGGAACATTCCATGGCAGAGAGAGTTCTACAGTGGACAGCTACCAGACCAGATCAGAAAGGGCCTCATGCCCTGCTTAGAAAAGCCTGGATCTTCCTCCATGCACACTGAGAAGCCACTGAAGATTTATGAAGAAATCTATGAATCTCAGATTTCTGGGTAAATGTGACTGTCAGAAGACTAGAGAGGGAGGACTGGAAGCAAGGAGACAGGGTGGGAGATTCTATGATTCTGGACAGCAGATGACAAGGCCTAGACTGGGGCAATAGCAATGGTGAAAAGTAATGGGATATTGATGAAAGAGAATCAGGAAGTCATAGAAACTGAACAAAAGGAGGAAAATGAAGATGATTTCACAATTAGTATAAAACTTGTTGAATTGAATTGAATTGATATTTATAGACAGATTATGACACATTAGAATCACAGAAGGAAAGCCATTTTGACTTCAAACTAAATTTTGGAAAAAATGCAGAGAAGAGGAAAGAACAGGCTTTGGATTTGGAGATGCAGTCTTTAGTCTCAGCTGCATCTCTGTTTCTACATCTGTGAAATGAGGCTGATGGAACCTGCCTCACAGTATCGAAGGTAGAGACAATGAAATCACAAGATTCATAATGGATTCAGTTCATATAAGTTGTCCACCTGCAGTTAACAGGTGTGGTCACTGAAAGGAAGGTCCACATGGGGCCGTTTAAATTACCTGGAGATGGCTCCGCCTGTAACTTCTCGAAGAAGGCGGCAATGGTGAGGCACAAACTCCAGAAGTTTATTATACATGACCTGAAGGCCATTGGGATGAGATTCAACAAACTGCTCTATAATCACCTATTAAAAGGAATATCATTTAAAAAAAAAAAAAAAAAAAAACATTTAAAAGGGAAGTGCAAACTATATATTTCAGAAAAAACAATAAACCTTACAAATGTGATTCCTCATGCTCACCCTCCTCCCTGTGACATATTTTCTAAACAGTAAATAACAGGTCACATTCAAAACTAGTTCCTCAGATTAGGCTGCACAGTTATGACTGTCGGTGAGACATGGGCTGATAAACCATGCACACTGATCTGCTTCCCCGTGAGTCTGAAAGCAAAATAACACCTTTTAAAAAAAGATTTAAAGCAGAGCACACAATTCTCCACTACAACTCTTCACTGTCTTCATCCTGGCCTTTTCTTCTACCATCATTCAGATTAGCGAAAGGTTTGAGGCAGAGAAAGACAGAAGAAAATACATTAGTTTATTATTTTATTTTTGTGATAAAATTGAGAGTCAAAAATAATATGACAAGATGAGTTTAAATAAAATACAATGTGGCTACTTAAGATGCCACCGAAACTTCAAATATTTCTTTATCACACTAGATTCAGTTCAGTGAAAAAGAAATACATTAGTGACTAAAATATTTTCACTTGTTGGGTGTGGTGGCTCATGCCTGTAATCCCAGCCCTTTGGGAGACCAAGGTGGGCAGATCACTTGAGTTGAAGAGTTCAAGATCAGCCTGGACAACATGGCAAAACCTTGTCTCTACAGAAAATACAAAAAAATAAATTAGCTAGGCATGGTGGTGTGTACCTGTAGTTCCAGCTACCTGGGAGGCTGAGGTGGGAGAACTGAGCCCAGGAGGTTGAGGCTACCAGTGAGCCATGATCGCGCCACTGCACTATAGCCTGGGCAATAAAGCGAGACTCTGTCCCCCAGAACCACACACACACACAGATTTTCACTTATTGACAAAGAAATAATGTACATAATTTTTTCACCCCCGTAGAGACAGCTATGGGATATAACAGGATATAAACGGAGAGAAATGAAAGATCATTTATTTTTAGTAATCTTAACAAGGTCAAAATAATTATTAAAATTAGTCTCTAAATTTCATTTTTATAATTGGGATTCTCAACTTTCTGCTATAAAAAAATAAAAAACTTTCTCCCTGAAATCACGTGAGTATAGTGTTTGTATTTACTAACAGTCAGAACATTCACACTGACAGGACACTGGAGGAAAGTCCCCAAACACTGAGGATGGACTCAGTGGCTTCTGTCGGTTTGAACTCGATAACGCTACTATTTCTATATCTCATAAACTGTTAAATATCAGCAAATTTAGATGGCACAATCTATACTCTGGCTGCTCAGATGCAGGATATACTTAATTCCTATATTTTAACTATATTCCTAATAGGTGAAGGATACTGCATAGTCGCGTTCTAGAAATACGGTATTACTCGGCTAATTTGCTATAAAAGCCCTTGATCTTTGAATATTCTTCCTTTCACACTCCCACTCCAGCAGACTCCTCTGTATTTTTCGAGGCGTGGGCCAAATGTCATGTATTTCCTACAGACTTGAGGGTACCACTGTCTACCCCAGCACTCTCAGCGCCTTCCTCCTACACTGCAGTGTTGTCACCGCTTATCTGCCTTAGTCCACCCACAAGACCAGTGTTTGGAAAACATTCTTTTAACAACTACTGAGAATCAATCACCTCCCATAAAATTGACCTAAAAACACGTGGATGCACACCTTCTCCCTAGGTGAGAATGTCGCCCTTGAAGCCTGAACCACAGCATAGCCAGGACACCTAAGAGGGCATGCCCAATTCCTGGCATTGGAACATTACTTCCCAACTGTAACCCACAGAGACCAAGCCTTCCTTACAGCTGATACTATAGGAACTGAGAATCTTTCCCAAAAGATTTCTGCTCTATCTTCTTATCTTTCTCACACCCAGTAAAGAGTCAAAGACAGAGCAGATGCTCATGAATGTTAGTTGAGGGAAGTTCACAGACCTCGTCTATGTATGGTTTCACTAGTACTTGGCCAACCAAGGCCTCCGCATCCCGAGTCTTGTCAATCGTGGCATAAGTCCGTAAGCAGTGCCGTATGATATCGACGTCAGAAGTCTGAAGGCCTTCTAATAGGAGACCTTCCAGTGACTGCTGTAACATGGCTGTAATGCCAGCTATGCGCTGCAAGAAAAGGTAAGTAAGTAAAAACGGCTCTAGTTGGAACAATTTCTGAAGCTGCAAATAGATACATAACAAGCCTCTCACACCAATAGATGGTGACATATTTAAAATCAAAATAATAACTTTTCCTGGAGAATAACAATAAATTCCCTACCCCAATGTCTTTATAAGTACATCTCTGCTTCATCAGAGAAGAATTTAGACAGAATTACAGAATGAGAAAAAGTTATCTTCCTCTTAAGCTACAGTCAATCTTTAGGAAACATCATGGATTCAAAATCCAGTTAAGGGCTTTGGATAAATTAATTGTCCACATCATGTAATACATCCAATTCCATGAAATTCGGAATTAACTTTACTCTTACAATCTGGAGAATGTGACTGAGTCTTTACACAAAATCTACGTAATAATGTGTGACACTTAGGAAGCTGGAGCCCAAAAAATCAAAAATTGAAAAAAAAGAATTCAAGGCTCGCTTCGAAATCCTATAGATTAACAATATTTCCAGGTTAAATGAAAATTATTTTGCAAGTTCCTAAACACCAAACTGTGGAAATCCAAAACAACACTTACCGGTCTTACTTTGTCCAAAAGAGGCATGCCTTTGCTTTGAACGGCATGAAATTGTAACTGGTTAAATTCTGTAGCAATTCTCTCCAAAATCTGTCCAGTCAAAAGTGGGCTAGTAGAGAAAACAATTATAGAAATTTAATCCCTACAGTCTGTATTTCCAAGAGAACCCATCACATGACTGCTTTCTCATCCACTGTTTTGACTTTTGTCAGTGTTTTACACAGCCACCTTGTTACAAGGTGAAAGCTAAAGTGTCTTTTCTGCCATCAATCAATGCTCCCCAGGAGCCATATGCACAGCATGTTCTGAGAGCACTGGGGAATCTGTTGAATACAAGCTACTGATGCTGCCTGGCCTTGACCCACAGGGACCAAACAGCAGCAGGATTGGCTAAGCCTGGGTGCATGCAATTATGTGTTTCTGCCACTGACTCCAAGCTCGCCCATTCATGACCTTCTTCTTCAGCTTTAACCTCGCTTCTTTTTCCCTCTTGCCCCTCTACCTACTTCTCTTTCCATCCCATTTCTTATAGCTGGATCCTTTCTATTTCTCTGCCTGCCTCATTCTCCTTTCTAAAATATTTCTAAAATACCAAACATTTTTGCCTCCTCAATAAATGAAACTTATCCTCCAGCAGCAATAAATATCTCAAAATGCCTTATTTTAAATCTAAATAGTAATAGCTTACTTTAAAATTACATTTGCCAAACAGCAAGAGCAGCCAACCTATATGCTCTGGGTCCTAGTGAGAGGACATTCTTTACATATCTGCCAAAAAATATAATAAATGCACTCCCCCCCAAATATATTATAAAGTGTCAATATCACTCAAAACGAAGTAAAATAGCAGAGAAGTACAGAGGCATAAGCTGGGTATGCTGAGGCATCCTCTACCTGATGATGACACCAGTTAGTGAGGGAAAATGTCCACATCATAAGGACATATAAAATGCTGCACTGAGACCAACAGTGGTCTACCCAGTTCTGTATTTGTAGCACCCAAACTAGTTTAGAGGAGTGCGAACGGCCCAGTGTGACCAACCAAAAAGGTTAACTCTGTCTTGAACATCCCTAACTCTTTCCTGAATAATCTCGTGCAAATTAATTATTTATAAATCATCTAAATGTTTCTTGGCTTAATAAGCACGGTATATCTACTATTCAGTAATAATCCCCTAGTTCTACCTTCTCTACAGCTCAAATTTTAGATCTGAATGTAAGAAAAGCTCCTCAAAGATGATTCAGAGCAAGGAAGAGTACAGTGTCTATTATACTGAATATATGAGGAAGGAGACCTAAGCATCTAAGACCACCTCCCCCTTGCATTTCAACGGGAGGAGTAAAGGCTGGCAGACTGGGCACCACCTTAATCGTCCTCCTATAGATCACAGGCATGGTATGGAGGAATCTTTCCAGAAGGCTTTGTTTTTACTTAAACAAGATCAAACCCCTACCTAAGCCACATACACCATACCTACTCCATGGACCAAGACCTTTTCACATGTAATTTCCAGAGTTGTGAGCCCAGGACCCATTCACATGTAATTTCTAGAGTTGTAAGCCTTTAAAAGGGCAGGGACTTTCTTTGTGAACTCGATCTTGGCTGTTAGGCAACTATGCTGCCTTGCTCCTGGCTGAACAAATCACCCCTTCTTTCCCAGATGTTTGTTTCTTGAGGCTGTTCCTGTTTTAATGACATACTGAATAGAACAGAATACAATCATATAATAGTATGTCTAAAATAGAAATCGCTGAGGTAATCAGAAGCCCATTCCCCACTAGTGGGTGATGTTTGGCATCTTTTCTTAGGTACCTACTAGTTCCAGACACTGTGGGTGTGATGATGTGGAGCCTTACAGACTGATGGAGAAGGCATGCAAGTCAATCAGCAGTTCCAGCCTCAACCATGTTGTCTGGTGGACGCCCTGGAGGCCTGATGCATGCAGGAAGATGGACCGTCTAACTCTGAAAGGTCAGGGAAGACTTCCTAAAAGAGGTGGTCTTGTAATCGAGTTTTATGGAAGGGAACTCTTGTGGTATCTTGTTTGTACTTTCTCTCACAGAACTGAGTGAGACGGTTTTAAAGAAAGCAAGAGGGATCAACAGTATCCCACACAAGAGAGAAGAATAAATTTTACAAAACAAATCCATATAGTTTTATGACCTGTTTTCCCACTTAGCACAATGTCTTGAACCTTTCCATACTTTAAGCATGTTTTGAGCTAGATCTGGATGGAATAAAAGAAATCAGGCAGGTGAAAGGGAGGTAGAAGTTAAAGGAAGGGCTTTTACTACAACAAATGGCCATACATAATAAAAGGAAGCATAAATCACTGATTTACGGGCAGTCAGGGAACCACAAAACCACAAATAGTTCTGAATACTTTAGTGAAGAATACAGAGTGGCCAAGGAGCAGCTTGGGCATTTAAGATTTATGCTAAAAACACTGAGAAACCATTGTTTCCCAATCAAATTGTCAGGTCTCCATATGCAAGCCTGTAGCCTGAAAGTCTGAAGCCTTGGCTGATGTCTCCCACCCGCTGCCTGTGTTCGCCATTGTCCCTGATCGCCCAGCGGAGCTTCCCCAGACAAGCCCCTCACCCAACCCTGCCATCTTAACTCTTTCTCTTTTTTTTTTTGAGACGGAGTTTCGCTCTAGTTACCCAGGCTGGAGTGCAATGGCGCGATCTCGGCTCACTGCAATCTCTGCCTCCTGGGTTCAGGCAATTCTCCTGCCTCAGCCTCCTGAGTAGCTGGAATTACAGGCACGTGCCACCATGCCCAAATAATTTTTTGTATTTTTGAGACGGGGTTTCACCATGTTGACCAGGACGGTCTTGATCTCTTGACCTCGTGATCCACCCACCTCGGCCTCCCAAAGTGCTGGGATTACAGGCGGGAGCCACCACTCCAGGCTTCACTCTTCTTATAATAATGTAAATACCTCTCACTCAACCCTGCCATCTTAACTGTTCTTATGACAATGTAAATACCTCTCACCCAATCCTGCCATCTTAACTGTTCTTATGACAATGTAAATACCTCTCACCCAACCCTGCCATCTTAACTGTTCTTATGACAATGTAAATACCTCTCACCCAAACCTGCCATTGTAACTGAACTTGTGGTCATGTATACTCCTTGTCCCTACTCCCCAACCACTGTAACTGAACTTACTCTGCAACACCCCCACCCCCCAAAAAACTACCCAAACCTATAAAACCAACTCCAATCCCACTGACCTTTGCTAATGCCCTTTTTGGCCTTAGCCCATCTGCACCCAGGTGAATAAACAGCCATGTTGCTCACACAAAGCCTGTTTGGAAGGTCCCTTAATTCAAAGCGGCATTTTTCAACACAAATAGTAAGATGTGATTAGACAAATATGAAAGATCCATTTGGCAGCTACAGATTTAATTGTCCTAGAGAAAATGAGAGGGCAGTCAGGACGCCATCCCTGAAATGAGACAATGGGAGAACCCAGAGGGGGAGGCAGACATCTCTCAAATCTCAGAGACATTACAGCAGTGACTTTCCAGGGCTTGCCTAGCGAATGAAAGGAGATGAAGGAAAGAAAAGGAGAAAATGACTCCCCCAAGATGTCTAGCCTGGTTACCGAAGGAAATGAAGGCACCCTTTCCTAAGACAAGGAATGAAAGAGAAGAATAAAATGTTTTTGCTGGTAGAGAGAGGCAGGGAAAGAAGATGAGAGCTCAGTTTTCAACATGATGAATGTGAGGTGCCTGCAGGACGTCCACCAGACTCCTCACAGTCATCAGACTGATGGGTCTGAGGACTACAGAAGTTTGCAGATAAAGAGATCAGCATCCAAGAGGCCATTAAAACCATGGGGTTGGATGAGGTTATCTAGAAAGTGCTGATCAAGAGCACAGTACCAAAAACAGTGCCCTGGAGAAAGCTGGCATGAAAGAGTGCAGTGGAGTCCATTAAAGAACAGAATAGGAATGGGGAAGGAGGAAAAGAAAACAGGGAGCAGGTATCACAGATGCTGAGTGAGGACACAGTAGGGAGGGGCTGTCAATGCTGTTGAGTGGAAAACAGAACAGAGCAGTTAGTCAAATAGAGCTCCACTGGGCTCTCAGAACAGATACTGATGGGGACTCTGATGAGCGCAGATGAAAAGGAACAGAAGGGACAGAAGCACAAGAACCAGAGGCTGAAGAAACAAAGATGGCAGGGGACTGACCACTTATTTATACATCTTGATCAGGAAAGAAAGTAGAGACCTAGGACACGAGAATGGTTTCCTTTTGGGATGCCTCATCTCCTCATCTATAAAATGAGAGATACGAAGCATATTATCTCTTCAAATCTAAACTTCTGATTTCTAAAATTAAGAAATCCAACTTTTCTGGATAGTATGATGAGGACTTTGAACTGCAGGTATATTCCATTTGCTCCTGGTTGGTTTTCCTGTAGCTTATCCCATATTAGTCAAGTAAAGACATGATGGTGATCAACATGACTTTCAGAGATGCTTGTGTTAGGCCCAAACTAGACATGAATGAGGGTCTACTCTATAGCTACCAATCCTGCAAGTGAAGTTCCTATTTGCCTTATATGAGAGATGACAACACCAAGACATAAAGTGAAGTAACCTGACTCAGGCTAATCAGCTGGTACATGCAACATAAGCCCATGCTCTTTCCACTGTAACAGGGGGCTTGCTGTTGGTGTTCATAGTGACCCATTCAATTCACTTTCTGAGTCACTCAACTACCTGGCTGATTTTAAATTCAGTGTAGGAAGGTAATAAGACATTACAGTATAACAAAGGAAATAGTCATCTTTTGCTTATTTCATATTTGCCATTAATAAATTTCAATGAAACGTGTGCTGTACTATTTGTTAATTATGTAACACTCATGCCTTTTGAACCTCAAGATACAACAACTGGAATACTCTGGGCCTGTCTAAGTAATCTAAGACGACCGCTATTCCACACCTTGAAGACCAATAGGGATTTTACTAGTCCACGGGTAAGGCAATTTCAAAAATAAAAATCTTCCAAAGAAAGCACACATTCTCTGACTCCCTGAAAGGTGTGGTGTTGAACAGTGGCCTCTGACCATCAAGTTATATATAATAACATATGTAAGCTTTACCATTTCACGTTCTCTGCTTTTTGCTTGAGCTACATTTAAAAATACTAAGCCATAGACTGGGATTTTCTTTTTTATCAGAAATGAGTTCTAACTAAAAACAAATTTTCCCCTGGGTGTAAAGTATTAATTTATGAGTTATTTAGTAAAAAATACTTACCTGCTTGCTTCTAGTGCAGATGTTTCTTTAGAACTTTGAGAGTTTAAGATTTTTTCAATTTTCTCAACTGACCGAATAACTTGTATAAGCCTCAACACACACATCTAGAAATAAAAATTAAGGAAAAAGAGTTCTTGTCATGTTTAATTTTAATTGTCTTATTTTATCATCCTACGCACAGGAAAGTACAAAGCCAAAAGTCAACGTAAAATTACTTACAGCATTCTACATTTTTAATATTTCTACATAACACTAAATTCCAAAGAATGCAAATCTTTTGGCTTTTTAGAACAAACATATTTTAATATTCTATCACAATTTTAGAATTTAAAAAAACCTAGCTCTTTTTGTTTCTTATATTCTTTTTTTTTTATTTTGAGACGGAGTCTCGTTCTGTCACCCAGGCTGGAGTGCAGTGGCATGATCTCGGCTCACTGCAATCTCTGCCTCCCGGGTTCAAGCAATTCTTTTGCCTCGGCCTCCTAAGTAGCTGGGATTACAGATGTGCAACACCCGGCTAATTTTTGAATTTAGTAGAGATGCGGTTTCACCATATTGGCCAGGCTGGTCTCGAACTCCTGGCCTCATGATCTGCCTGTCTCGGCCTCCCAAAGTGCTGGGATTACAAGCATGAGCCACTGTGCCTGGCTGGTTTCTTATATTTTATCTTTATTCCCTTTTTCTTTTCCCCATCTTTTTTGAGACAGGGTCTCACTCTATCACCCAGGCTGGAGTGCAGTGCTGTTATCTTGGCTCACTGTAGCCTCAACCTCCTAGGCTCAAGTAATCCTCCCACCTCAGTCTCCCTAGTAGCTGGGACTACAGGTGCAGACCACCATATCTGGCTAATTTTTTTTTTTTTAATTTCTTGTAAAGACAGGGTTTTGCTATGTTGCCCAGGCTGGAATTAAAGTTCTGAGCTCAAGCGATCTGCCCGCCTCAGCCTCTCAAAGTGCTGAGATTACAGGGGTGAGCCACCACACCTGGCCTCTTCCCCATCTTAAATAAACTTTTATTTTGGTACATTTATTTTCTTAAGATCCTTTTTTCACATTTTAGTTTTTGATCATATTTGTCCTCTTCATTTACATGTGCATGATATACCGATAAACTTAAGTGCCAATTCATTAAAGACATTTATTATACAAGGCAGATATTATCAAGGAGTTTGAGGAACATTATAAAAACTCATTGTTAAAATAACAACAACAACAAAAGTCATTCATTAAATAAACAGTTACAAAGCATCATTTATGAATCAAGATATTCTTCTACACACTGGGGACATAGGTGAATAAAACAGGCAAAACTCCCCTCTCTCATGAAGTGGACAATCTTTTCTAACAATGAACTACAGTCCTGAATCTTTGGACAAAAGCTGAGAAGGGATCTAAGGGAGAATCAAACAGAAGATCTCTAAAATAGTCTTCTCAAAAAATAAAAAATAAAAATAAATAAAACAGGCTTCTCTCCCTCGAGATTTAAAAAAGTGTGCTTGGGTACCAAAGTTATCAAAAGAAAAATAAATACATAAATACATCTAATAAATAAATTTTAAAAACACTTGTGTATAAAAGAGAGACATCATGCTCCTCTCTCTTCAAAAGTACTAAGAAGAGTAAATGGAACATATGCCTAAAAGTGCTTGTTACTACAAGGTACAGTGAGTCAATGCTTGACTATTATAAATATTTGAGTATACCTTTTTTTTCCTAATGTCCTCTTGTTTACACATTCGTTCATCAACTGCCCGAATTCCTTCACTGACAGATGATCTAAGGCTCTTTAAAAGAAAAAAAAGTACTGCAGAGACTGTTTTGTACCATTACTAAATTTACACATTTAATTAAATTCCACAGGACTTAATACCTACAGGCCAGTATTATGCAGATATTGACAAATTATAAAATATTAAACACAATTTCTGTTTGTGTCTCATGATTTAGGGGAAAAATGACATATAAAGCTAAGGTCGTGCTGGGTTGGCTGCTAAAAGAAAATCAATCTACATACAATGAGCATCACAGGAGATCAGGGTAATGAAACCTGAGTCAAAGCATAAGGGTGTCTGGTGGAGGAGATGAGACTTGAGGTAGATTCTAAAAATTTGTGGATAATGACAAGCACAGAGAGAATATTATCAGAAGACAAGGCAGAAAGACAGAACAGTTATGACGCATTTCAGGACCAGTAAGGAATACATCTGGGGGTACTGCAGGCTTCAACATGGACAAAAGTAGAAATAAAACAGGAGGGGTTAATTCGAGAGGGCCGTGACAAGATCTTTCGACTAGATTTTACACATTTTAAGTATTAATATATCATGAAAAATTTGTTTTGGGAAAATTCAGAATCAAGAAGTCAAGAAGAGGAGGCAAGGAAAAGGGCAAGTTCATAAGTGGAGAAACATGTCCAGAAGCTAATGAATTAATTAGAAATCAGGGCCAAAATGAAGGTAAAGGAAAAACCAGAATAAACTGGAGAAACAAAAATTCTATAGAAAAGTGAATTCATTCATTCCACAAATGTTATGAAATACCTATTAAATGTCAGCTATTGTGGAAGCCAATGAGGACGCAACGGCGAACAAGATAAAAATAGTCTCATTTCTCAATAATTGCAGAATCTCATAAAGTAGCCTCATGAGTTAGAGATCAAAAAGGAAGAACAGGTCTATAGGTAAACCAATCAGGAAAAAGGTGGTTCTAGAGAAAGTTGTGGGAAGAGGGAGAGCATATAGTGCTGGCAGGTGGCAAAGTAAAGACTAGAGCCTGCAGGTGACAGAGCAGTCATTAATGCCAGAGCAGAGGTTGGAAGAATGAATCCACTTCCATGGGAGAGAATTTAGAGAGGAGAAGACAGGAGAGGAGAAGGCTGAGGATGGATGCTTGGAAAACAGCCTATCTCCAAGGCTGGGAGTAGGAAGAGGTACACTGAGAAGACAGGAAAGCCACCCAAGAGCCATGCAAGAGCCACTCAGAGCATGGACTCCAACAGTGAACCACAAAGACAGTTTTCCTTCCATGCCAAGAAGAAGTACTTTAAAAGCTTTTTTAAAAATCAAACAAGATCTAAACATCTGAAAATACTTGCTAGTTCAAGGCGCAACTCAAGACTTCTTTTTTAAGAATTATTCCTTGCCTGTATTCTTATGGACTTCTAAACACTGACATTTCTATTATTCTGCATTTTTTTTTAGCACTACATATACATTGAATGTTTACTTATGTCACCTACTGTGAGCCTACTATGTGCCTGAGACTGTCTTAGGGGCTAAGTGCATAAGGCTATACAAGCTGCCCATGATCTAGTGGTGACATATACAGGTAATAACAGTGCAATGAGCCAAGTTTATGACAGCTCATCAGTGCTAAGAGAGCATGGAAGTCAGGGCACCTGACATAGACTGCAGGGTGGACCAGCAGGGATAGTGCAGGGTAGCACACTTTTCTGTTGAAAATGATGCCAAAATGCCCCCCTCTACTGTTCATCCAGATGGAGTCCCTGTCTCCACTGGGTTAGATATGGCGAGTCCCAGCTCACAGCAGATGTTATCTCATAGAAACATTAAAATAAAATACAATGTCTATTAGTTATTACACTAATTTTATATTATCCTTCAGTTATATTAGGGTTTAAAGCACTTCTGCGGATTAGTCTAGGAACCTAACAATATATAAAATATTATTTAGGGAAATATTTGTAAAACTACACATTTTTAAAATAGAAGCTATTCCTAAATTGGTGACTACCTACATATGAGTGAGCTGACAGTAGTAAGTTGAGTTTTCAAATAGCCTTCTCCTCCTCCTACATTTTAAAGCTATCTACTCTAAGAATCTGTCATCTTCAAATCAAACATAAATTTTTTGGTCATAGTATCACATGCCAAAAAAAAAAAGAATGATTTACAACTTTTCTGAGGGTATGATAATTACTAAACATTCAAAACACAAAAATAACAACCTAACAAATTAAAGGAATTCTTTTTTGGAGGACCAAACAAGCAAATCACACCTTATGGTAAACTGTTTACTGTTATTTGGGAAACTTACCAGAACCTCTTCTCGTAATTGTCCCAAAGGCACAGAAAGTTGGTTGAGGGCTTTGTCCATGCCAACCTAAAGGCAGAAATCATGTTGACACACACACTTCACAATCAGGAGTACTAGCTAAGTATCTATTTAATGATCAAAGCACTGTTAGACTTATATTATTCTTCCTGTACAATAAAATGAACAACCATATATTGCTAAGTAATAACAAATGTTAGTTTATAATAAACATTGTTGACAGAATGTAAAAAAACCTTTGATGTACATGAAAACTATAAAAATAAGAGAAGTCATGATAAATAAAAGCCTCCTTAGGCACAATTTGCCTCTGAGTAAAATATTTTAATTAATTTGAGAAATGTTAACTGGAGGTAAAAAGCTATCTCTCTGTAATTCACAATATTTGACCAGCTGATGTGAAGTCTGAAGGACTGTATCTGTCCTTGAGAAAAATCCAAATGAAATAGAATGGAAATGTAATTTTCTAGGTTTCTAATCCTACTACATTTATTTCAGATGTACACCACCTAAATGCAAATATGACTCACTAATTTTAATGCTTCTTAAAATTTCCATGGAAATGACTACTTTCTGTACTTCTTTGGACAGAGTTTAAAAAGTAAAATAAATTAGGAACAGGATGACCAAAAGGCAAACTTTGAGAGTACTAAAACATAAGCACTTCTAACCTACGTTTATAAACCACTGATATGCTCATGACAAACTATTCTTACATTTTACAAAACCAAGCCTCTTAAAGAGCAATACTGGCCAATGCTCTTTCAATCTAGCTCTGGCTAGCATATGTATCTGACAGTAAATTAAATGTTTCCTTAAGAACAGATGATATTTGCTCTTGCAAATTGGTCTAAACCAGAGAGATTTCATGGTAATTAGTAGCTAATGAAAACAACCACTTGCTATTACTAGCCCTTGCTTTTCACTAATAATAACAAATTCAAAAAATATTCAATTTAGAATAGTTTTAAATGAGTAAAAAAGCAAAACTGTATATCAATAAAGTTTGGTTATTTTATTGCGGAGATTAGTGATCTCTTCAAATTTCTGCAGGGAACATCAACTAAAAGGTTTCTAAAAACACACAACACTTTTAAGAATAAGTATGATTGAGAAAGAAATGGTATGTGCATAAATGCAGGGACCGTGGATTTAAAGTTTACCAAGTTTGTTGAAAGGTTGACAAAATCTGCATAATCCTTGTTGATGAGTTCGACCATGGCTGTTTTAAGAAGTTTATAGTAGAGCTCCAGATCATCTCTCAGTTCTTCCAGCTGGACCCGCTTCCTACAGTCAGACACAAAATGATCGACATCGAAATCTTCCTGAAAAATAAAACCAGAGAAGAAAAAATTATGGCAATGATATCACAGTGACATATAAAAATGAAATGGAAGAAAGAATAAGAAAGTCCATTCCCATCATTTACAAGGCCATGTTGCTGCAGGAAGAAAGCAACTTGGCTTATACATGACAGTATGAAGGTGCTTGTTCACTTTATAAAGGTGCCAAGAAGCGTGGTCTCTCCTGCTGCCTAAAATTCTAAAAGTGAACCTCTTTTTCAAAACAACACAATTCAATCAGGTTCTTCTCAAAATAGAAACAATGTTTCCCCTTAATTTTAAAGTAACAAATGTCCAATGTAAAACTTTCAAACGACAAAGAATTGTATTAAAAATCTCCATCAGAGTTAAAAAAAAAAAAAAGACAACCAAATTGTCATGCTGTAGAGATAAGCACTATTAATTTTTGTCTCTACTTAACACTGTGATTCACATCCTTCCAGATGTTTTCCTATGTGTCACATGCACACACAAAATCTTAATATTCATGCTGTTATGTAAACTGCTTTTTCCCATGTAACAATACAACTTGGATGTCTTTTATAATCCATATAAATTTGCATCCACGTTTCACATGGATGTATTACACTGAACAAGATGTGCAGCAGCTTGCTTAACCAATTTCCAGGTATTGGTCTCAGATGATTAGCTATGATCTCTGCTTCCCCTGAATAGCATTCTGATGCCCCTAGTAGGCTGATATGCTTATGGCTAGCAAGTTACTGTCAACTTCACCTGTGACTTTGACTTTTATCCATTATGCTCTTTGATCACCGAGAATCAGATGATTCCCAAACTTGTTAAAGCCACTTGAACTTATTACCATGATTACATAATTTTATTAAATATTGTATGAACCAATGGCATATGAGTGGGAAAAAATAACTGTTTTTATGAGAACTAAGGCAGACAGATGCTCTGGAAAAGATTTCATACAGGCAAACTACTAAGAAAATGTTTCTTGAATTAGATATGGGTGCAATTACATGAACCTGGGAGGGCAGAGAGCAGGAGGATAATACAAGTCCAGAAGGTATCGATACCTAGATTCTTTGGAAATGCCTTCAGGTCCTCATTCAACAGAAAGAAACAAAAACTGAATGCTAAATATAGAAACTTAATCAACAGATTAATTTTCAGATGAAAGAGCTTGGTACTACATCAATAGAGAATAAATATACACATATATGTTTTAAAATAAAATACTAAGGGCTGGGTGCGGTGGCTGACGCCTGTAATCCCAGCACTTTGGGAAGCCAAGGCAGATGGATAATGAGGTCAGTAGATAGAGACCAGCCTGAAACCCCATCTCTACTAAAAACACAAAAATTAGCTGGGTGTGGAGGAAGGTGCCTGTAATCCCAGCTACTCAGGAGACTGAGGCAGCAGAATTGCTGGGAAATCGGAAGGCGGAGGTTGCAGTGAGCCAAGATCATGCCACTGCACTCCAGCCTGGGCAACAAGAGTGAAAGTCCATGTCAAAAAAAAAAAAAGAAGAAGAAAAGAAAATATTAAGGTCTGTATGCATCATTCCTTCAGAGTACTTATTTATGTTTTTAGTTAACCAAATACCTGCCCTGATAGTGTCAGATAAGAGGACTTCTTTCCAATCCATAATTTCACAGCCACTTACTGAAAAACCATCTTTTTCTTTATCTGGGGCCAGAATCAGCCGGGACATCTTGCTTCTTGAGACTACTTCAGACACCACCTTACACTCACAGTTACATGGCACATCACAGAAAGAACACGGAGGCAGGAGTTGGCTTATAATCACAGCCTTGATACTAACCAGTCGTATGGCTTTAGGCTAGATCACTTTACTTGCCTCAGCTAAATATTCTTTGACGCCTGTCCAGATCTGAACTTCATGAAGCCATTCTAAACTGTATAATCCAGCTCCAATGAGCAAATGCTACTGGTAATATGAGTACTCAACTCGCTACTTACCACTTACTTGCTCTTGTCACTTATGTATTTCTTCTATATCAAAAGCTACCTGATGCAGATATTCTAAAAAACTTATTTCTTACGCTACGTGAATGTTCCATGTGAGATTGAGAGTGTATTTTGCTGTTGTCAGACGAAGTATTCTACAGTTGTCTAAAAAAAAACATGTTACATAGCATAAGAACTAAGTTTTTGTATCAGGCAGCATTTGCCGTGACAACAAACAACCCAAAACTCATAACAGTAGACACTTATTTCATTTGCCATAAATATTTTTACTTTATATTTTAGATTAAGCATTTTGGAATAACTTAAAATCAGTATCTTTATGGCCAAATGACTTTTGAAAAGGGTGCCGGGAGCTTTCAGTGGATTAAGAAAGACTGCGGGGACAAGCGGATATCCAAATGCAAAAGAATAAATTTAAATACTAACCTCATGTCATATACAAAAATATTTAACTCAAAATGGCTCAAAGGTTTAAATATAAAACCTAAAATGATAAAACTCTTAAAAGGAAATAGGTGAAAATTTGCATAAAATTTGAACACTAACCTCATATCATATACAAAAAAAAATTAACTCAAAACAGCTCAAAGACTTAAATATAAACAATAAAACTCTTAGAAGGAAATAGGTGAAAATTTGCGTGAGTTTAGATTATGCAATAGTTTTTGGATATGACACCAAAAGCATAAGCAATCAAAGAAACAACAGATAAATTTAACTTAAAAATGTCCATGCATCAACAGACACTATTAAGAAAGTGAAAACACAACCCACAGAATGGGAGAAAATATTTGGAAATCACATATCTGACAAGGGTTTAATAAATAACCCAATTTTAAAATGGACAAAGGATTTGAATAGACATTTCTCCAAAGATATACAAATGGGCAAAAAGCACATGAAAAAATGATCAATATAATTAGTCATTAGGGAACATCAACAAAAAAACCCCACTACTAACATTATATTAATGAAAAACTAGATGCTTTCCCCCTAAAATGATGGAAAAGGAAAGGATGTCCCTCTCACTGCTCCTATTTAACATTTTACTGGAAATCTAAGCTAATAAAATAAGAAAAAGATATTAAGAAGGTATACTGATTGGAAAGAAAAAAAGAAAACTTGGGCAGGGCATGGTGGCTCACACCTGTAATCCCAGCACTTTGGGAGGCTGGGGCAGGTAGATCACGAGGTCAAGAGATCGAGACCATCCTGGTCAACATGGTGAAACCCCGTCTCTACTAAAAATACAAAAAATTAGCTGGACACAGTGGCGTGTACCTGTAATCCCAGCTACTCAGGAGGCTGAGGCAGGAGAATTGCCTGAACCCAGGAGGCGGAGGTTGCGGTGAGCCGAGATCGCGCCATTGCACTCCAGCCTGGGTAACAAGAGCGAAACTCCGTCTCAAAAAAAAAAAAAGAAAAACAGAAAACTGTGTTTGTTCTCAGATGGCATGATAGTGTAGAAAATCCCAAAGAATCACCAAAAAATTTCTTAAAATAAGTGATTATAGTAAGATTGCAGGATACAAGGCTAATATACAAAAGTTAACTGCTTTTCTATAGACCAGTAATGAACAAGTGAAACTGAAATAAAAGCTCATTACCATTTACATTCGAACACAAAAAATAAAACATTTAGGTACAAATAAATATTTACAACATCTATTTGAAGAAAACTACAAAACTCTAATAATACAAGATCTTAAAAAATGGAGAGCTATTTCATGTTCATGGATAGGAAGACTCAATATTGTTAAAGTGTCAATTCTTCCCAACTTGACTTACAGAGTCACTGCAATTTCAGTCAAAATCCCAGGAAGTTACTTTGTAGATACCAACAAACTGATCCTAAGGTTATTTGGAAAGGCAAAAGACACACAATATACAACACAATATTGAAGAAGAAAAGCAAATTTAGAGGACTGATATTACTGAATCTTAAGACCTTATTGTTAAGGCTACAGCAATTAAGACAGAGTGGTACTGGTGAAAAAACAGACAGGGGGCCCAAAGTGGCTCCCGCCGGAGGTCGTGGCGCTCACGAAGGCGAGGTCATCAGTTCAAGGCTAACCGGAGCAACCTCATAAGCTCAAACTGATTGGCGAAAAAAAAAAAGACAGATAGGATCAATGGAAAAGAACAGACAGTTCAGAAACAGACCTATACAAATATGATAAGCTAATCTTTGACAAAAGAGCAAAGGCAATACACTGAAGAAAAGACAGTTTTCAAAAAACTGTGCTGAACAATTGGACATCCACATGTAAAAAATAGAGAGAGAGACACAGAACTATCACACAAATTAACTCAAATGGATCAGACCTAACTTTAAAACATAAAACTAAAGCACCTAGAAGATAACATAGGAGAAAATCTAGGTGACCTCAAATTTGGCAAAGACTTTGCAGATACAACACTAAAACACAATCTATGAAAGAAAACATTGTTATGTTAGACTTCATTAAAATTAAGTGTCTCTGCCCTGTGAAAGGCACTGTTAAGAGAATAAAAAGATAAGCCATAGGCTGGGAGAAAATAATCACAAAAAACATACCTGATAAAGGAGATGAATCCTAAACGCACAAAGAACTATTTAAAATAACAAGAAAACACACAACCATTACGGAAAATAATATGGAGGTTTCTCAAAAAAGTAAAAGTAAAACTGCCATATGACCCAGCAGTTCCACAAGTGGGTATATATCCAAATGAAATAAAACCACTATCTCAACAGGTATCTGCACTCTCATGTTCACTGCAGCATTATTTGCAATAGCCAAGACATGGAAACAACCTAAGTATTCATCAGCAGATAAACGGATAAAGAAAATGTTGTGTGTCTATACAATAGGATCTTATTTAACCTTTAAAAAGAAGGAAATCCTACCATTTGCAACAACACAGATGAACTTGGAGGCTATTTATGCAAAGTGAAATAGGCCAGACATAGACATACAAATCTTATAGCATCTCACTAGTATGGTTTGAAAATGTCTCCCAAATTCATGTGTGGAAAACTT